AGAGAAAAAGCTGCCTATACAAAAAAAAGAAAATACAAAAAGAAAATGAAAGAAGAAAAAGAAGTCAGAAAAAAAGATAATTAAAATAGAACATACTATTATAGCCCATACTAAGGTATAAAAGATAAAACTTATTTATAGTACTAATACATATACTATAAATCTTGAGTATAACTTCTTGTTAGCTATCATTCTATTTATATAAGCAAATCCGTATTGGCTTCATATGTATTAATTAACTTGTAAACAATCAAGATGTGACTTGCTCAAAATAGAAGATAGTATGAGTGCTGATCCTTTGTTAGAGGTAAGCCAGAATTCCCACTTTTCCAAAATGAAAACAAAATAAAAAAGCTACGGTCATCATATCGGTTTTGTTAATCAAAGGATAAGAAAAGTTACTTGCAAAAACCAGTTACGAAGTGAAAGAGAGTTGAAGTATTTGCTCCAGTACAAAACACTATTTGTTGTTTCTTCTTCTTCTCTTCTTTTACTAACTTTGTTAACAAAGAGTTCTTTTTCATCTCTTTACTAAAATTTTTTATACAAGGGCTTCACCTGCTAGTTATCTTGTATAATATCACTTTTAGCTTGTATGTTAAATATACAAAGGAGTCCCCGAGAGAAAGCAGTTGATCTTTGTAAAAACTATTGTATTGTAAAAGAAACTTTTTCATCTTCTTCAATAAAATTTTGTTTTTTGCTTTTTCGAATTTTTGAAAAAAAGGATCGTTGGAAAGAGTAAAAGAATCTACTTTAGTAGAAACAAGTAAAGATAAGGAAAAATTAATAAACTTAAAAGAAAATAAACAGAAAATAATATAAAAAGTTAGTAAAAAAAACAAGAGAAGATTCTATTTAAATGAAAGTAGTAAATATAAGAAAATAGGAAGAAAGAAAAAGAATATAAAGAGAATTCTAAAGAGTATAATATCTATTATAGAGAAAGAAGATAATAATAAAAGATTAGATGATAAAACAAATAATAAATTTTAAGACTATAGAGTCTCAAATTGCTTCTAAATTGTAGTATCAGTTGAATCACAGAAAGCTCTAAGTATATAAGAAAAAAAACTTGTAAATTTAAAGAGAGCAAATAGAAAAAGAAATTACAAAAAAGTGAATAATTTAGAGTATAGCAAGACAAGATTAAGTATAAGAACTGAAATAAATAGAGATAAAAAGGACTTTAGAACTTTATCTTTATCTATATATGATTTAAATAGACTTAAGGCAAATGGGTATAAAGTAGAATTGCTATTAGAATAGATACTAGAAAAAAATATAAATATTATAGGAATGATGAGACTAATATTGCAAAAAGACAAGGCAAATATTTAATCAAAAAAATAGTAACAATATAGGTTTTTAAACTAATACAGATGAGAATAAGATTAAAGGATCAGAAGTAGAACTAGCTATTAATAAATATTGAGAAAAGCATATTAGACAAATTATAAGATTTAGTAACTATTATATTAATATATTGCTAGTATTTAAAAGAATCAAATTGGTTATTATTTGCATATATATCCTACTAAATAATAAAGAAGAAAAAAAAATTTAGCAGCAAGTTATTAGAAAAATATAAGAATATAAAAGAAACTAAATTTGAATTATAGTTATAGGAGATTTTAATGATATCAGAAATAGAGAAATAAATTAAAATAAGGAACTTTTAAATAAAAAACAATTACTTCTACTACTTAGATAGCTAGAAAATTCAAACTTTAAAGATCTTTTTAAGAAAATTTATCTAAACAAAAAAGAGTTCACATAGACAAATAAAACATCTAATATAAGAATTAATTATATCTAGATATCTAATATACTTAGACAACAAGTAATAAGTTGTAAGAGTAACAAAACAACTTGTATTACAAGTAGTAATTATAATATAGTAGTAGCAAAAATAGGAACAGGCATTATAAAAAGAATAAATTATTAGCAACTAGCAAATAGTTAAAAAAGAAAAAGAAAATCTTAAATTTAGAGAAGATACAAATAGAAGATTAGAATAAATATTAGGAAAAGCTAGATAGAAAATTATGAAAGAAGCTAAATCTGAAGAAGAATACAGAAATAACTAAAGAGAAATGCAAAGCAAAAAGTATTGATAAGATATGAAACATTATCTCAAATAGTATTATTATTAGTACATACCCCTCTTTTCTATATTATAAAATAGATTCTAAGATAGCTTTAAAAAAAAAATGAAGCAATAGTGATAAAATTCAAAAAGATTTAAAACTTTTAGAAAAAATTTATCACAAATATGCTAAAGAGAAAAGAGCTATTATAAAGGAAGAAGATAGAGATTAAGCTAATATAAAAATTAGTAAGCTCAATAGTAAGTATAAGCTAGAGATAGATAAAGTACTAGAAGATCAATAGTTTGAAGAAAAGAAAAAAGATCTAAAAAATTAGTAGAAGATACTAAATACAAAAGTATAATATAAAAGAAAGAAAGAAGAAGTAACAGAAATTAATAAATATATAGATATATAGTATAAAGCAATACAAGGAAAATTAAAAGATATGCTTAACAGTTTGCTAGAAAGGTTATCAAAAAAAGTTAAAGTAGATAGAGTTATAAAGATAATTGAGGAAAAAGAAGTTTTACTAATAAAAGACAAAGTAGTATTAGGAGAAGTTAGATTATATTTTGCTAGGCAGTTTTGAAAAAGAAACATAAAGCTAGGAAAGTTTTCTTTAAGATGAGCTAAAGCATATAATCTAATTAAGAGAATAAATGAAGAAATATATAACAACTTCTTAGACAAAGTAATAGAAACTAAATAAAAAAGTATTCTTAATAAGACAAAAAACAAGTCAGCACCTAATATCTTAGGAATAAGCTACTCTTTAATTAAAAAAGCAGAAATTATAATACAAAGCTATTTAGAATACTAGCAAACTAATATATAGCAAAAGGTAATATTCTAGTTAAATAGAAACTAAAGCAATTATATCTAATTTCAAAAAATAAAAACTAGAATTACAACTTTTCAAATATGAAACTAATTATACTACTTGAGATATTTAGAAAAACAATAGTAAAAATAATAATATAAAGGCTAGATTATATATTTATAAAATATAATATATTAAAAAAGTCTAGTGATCTAATATAGTAGTTAGGTTGTTAGACTATTATATAATAGATCTGGAGTTCAAATCCCACTATTGACAAATTTGAATAATTATTAAGACCTTGTAATATATTATAATAAACTCTATTCATTCTTAGAGGTATACTTCTGTAAATTGAGTTGTATCAAATCGATCTAAAATTAGAAGTATAATATGCATAATATTATATAAAGAAATCTTAATAAGATATATAGGCAGAGGATCTGCATAGTAAAAATCCTAAGTAGGTAAAGTAATATGGCCTTCTTACAGAACTATATCAGTTAAAATCTGATCTAAAAAGAAAACTTAGTCTAATAAAAGTAGAAGGTTTTGAAGTTAGTATATAAAGAGTAACTAGAATTAGCTAAATACTAGAAAAAGACTAGATTGACTAATCAGTAGAGAATTACAGTAGAATCTGGAATTGTATGAATATAACAAAGATCTAAGCCAAGTAAATCTGTAAAATGAGTATATGACTACTCTAGTAGAAATCACTTATAAGGTTAATTAGAACTCTGCATATCTATAATACATTAAGCAATATGCATTTCAAGAGAATTTAAATTATGTTAAAGAAAGATCTATAAGCAAGTTAGCTAGCTTAAGTGATCAGATATAGTAGTGAATTTAGTTTTTTTTTTTTTTTTTTTTTTTTTTTTTTTTTTACTTTATACAAATGCCATCGGCTTAACTTTTATTAATTTCGTGAATTTCAGACGTGATACATATTGTGAGAGTACAACTAGCCACACGTACAATTTTAGGTTGAGAGACTCGAACTAGGTATAAGCACAATACTTACAATAAGTATATCCATTTCCCTCACTAAAACTACTATTGATTAATTCTATTAGATTATCATTTGGAGTATTATTAGTAGTTAAAGTTAAAGTCAGACGGATCAGTATTGGTTTGATAATTCCAGATTTTTCTCTATTGATTCTGATTACAAGGTTGTTATGATGTAATTCAACATAATTTCTAATGGATTCTTGCTCAACTTTAATTGAGGTTAAACAAGATAGACATTGAGCCGTTCTATCATCGTTTACTTTAAAACACTGGAGGATACAGTCAAATGATACCTTATTATCAAGTTTACAAGGGATACGATTCAAACTCGAATCAACCATAATAGTATTTGTAGTTAACGATACCAATATTTTATGGTTTCTGTGTAAATGACTTACAGCCTTTAAATAAACACAATTAGATTTCTGATAGGTTTTATTATCACACTGATTACAGGTTATAAACATTTTATAGTCAGTGAAATAATACGTAAGAACCTCAGGTATAGGAGTCTGAAGTAGAGACGCAGTATTCATATTTTTTTATAATAATCAGTCAATACAGACATTTTATAACAATATCAACATAAATAATCATTTCATAACTATTACATTCAATTAACGTGATTTTCAATTAAGGTTTCATTCTTAACCAAAGATGTTTAATAACTGTGGTTCTATCTACAATATAGTTTTAAAACACAGGATTGTTGTCATGCAGTTACAGATATCTCGTATATTTAATCACAACTAAAAACAATCAATTTCTACAAAAAAAAATGACAACATCAATGGATATTGAATTAATTTTATTCAAAATTAAAGATCAATATTTTGATATTGACGCAAGATTAATTAAAAAACATCTGACATCTGCATTGTATACGACAATTACCACAAATATTAGAACATCAAACAAGATTAAACATATAGTAAATGAAAGAGACGTTGAACTAGATTGTTTTGATATAGGCGAAAGAAATTTAACGATATTCGAATTGGTCATGAAATTTTACAAAACTGGTGAAATTCTGATACATGTAGACATTAAACCTTTGAATTTCGATAACAAACTATCGTATTATTTAATATCAGACGATCAATCTTTTTAATATATAATACATGAAAGAGAAGCTAATGATCTATATGACTTTATAAATATGATTGTAAAATTAGCAAAGGAATATGTAAAAGGTTATAAACGCATGACATTAATTGAATTTCCATATTGCGATAATACTGTGAATAAATTAAATTAATATAATAATTCAAATCACGATTTAAATTATTTTAAGAATATGGGACTCACATATTCCTTGATAATGAAATATCCTAAATATATTAAAAAGAAAGTTGAAGAGTATATACCTTTAATTGAAATCAATATTGCGGAGAAATGTCTTAAATTTAAATATGAAATATCAAAAGAATATGTATTAGAAAAAATTGAAAAGAAATTTAGATAATAATCTTTTTATTTAATAAACACTATTAATATTCATTGTTTGATTTATTTTAAATAACTATTGAAATGTCAATAAATATTATTTTATTTACTATAGATGATAAAATAATAAAAATAAATATTAGTGCAAACAAAAATGTTATGTGACAAATTGAAGATAAATTTGATAATCGAACTATAAGACTCTCGAGTATCAAGTACGGTAGCATTCATTATAAAAATGATAAGAACCGTATTTTCCCAGACTGATTTGGCGATGATTTTACCTTTGATAAACATAATGACATTATTGAAACATGAATAAACAGAGTAATTGGTTCAAGTTCCTGCTAAGATATTTTCTATAAATGTATTGAACTAATGGAATTAGAAATTAATCAATTTTCTATTGGAGCTTTTGTCGAAATTAATAATAACAAAAATAAAGAAATAGCAATTGCCTTTCTAGTATACCCATTCAAAAAGATAGATGACCAAGACATATTCAAGATAGTAGTTACCGGAGCTACGATCTATAATAAAGAAAACACAGAACTGATATATAACAATGTTGGTGAATTTGCGAAATTTATTTTCAAATTTTATCATATTTTAGACAAGGATAGATTGAAGTAATTTAAATATGCGTCAAATAACTATATTTTGATCTTCATAATTGACTAATCACAAAAATTCATTTTCATACCAATTTAGCAATTCAATTTAAATCGTATACAATAGGAAAAGTAATGATCATCATTTGTTACAAAAAAAATAAAAGAATAATTATTTGTACTACTAGTTTAACTATAAATTACATCTATGTATAAAATCATCTTAAGATTGATAATAAATCGCCAATGTATCTTTCAATGTAAAATAATTTCTCATTTCGTTTATCCTATTTACATGTTTATCAAGTTTATTTACTATATTACTAGGATATGTAAAAATAATATTCATTTCTCTAGCAATGATTCTTGCATGTTCTAAATAATCTTGATTAGTTACTAAGACACCATACGAAGTGTATAATTTAGAAACTGATGACGCTCTTTTAACATCATGAAATCCTATGTCTCTTCTTCTATGAAATTTATTACATATTATAAAATACACATCTTCTTTCGAGATAACAAAATCTTTGTTACAATCAGCATGAATTCAATCAGTCACAAAAGATTCATTTATTTCATAGTTAGCATGTTCTAGAATCTGTTGATTTGTGTTTTTGAATTCCAAACATAATCATTCATTCAGACTTTTCACTACCTAATAATATAATAATAATGAGTATTATGCTATTATGCTCAAATCATAAACATCCTCAGCTAATGTTATATAGTCACAACGAGAGTTTAATAGGAACAAGTTGTTATGCCCCCGAGGATATCCATGATTTACAAACATTTCTACAGCAATCAATATAGCCAAGTACTCACTCACATTAACATTAAAAAAAAAAAAGAAAAAAAAAGAAAATAAAATAAAACATTTCACAAATATTACTATTGAGGCTCCATTTTCAATGTAATTTAATAGAACCTGCAATAAAATTTAATAATTATAATAAAATTATATAATAAATTATGTATACTATACGTAAATAAAAGTTTTATTCATGTGCCATCTGCTATGCAATGTTGTCTTAATTGAATCTTTTTAAGATTCATTCATATTTGTTTTCTCTTATCAATCTTACTTGTAACTCATTTAGTTGCCAAAAAGATATAATGATCTTGGTAGTCTTAGAAAGTTGTTGAATAAGAATGTCCTGTTTTCATCAGGAATCCAAAGATGATTGAAGGTAAATCAATATCTCGAGTTACATCTATATGATTCTTCACTTGTAGAAATTATACAATTAGTAGAACAGAATGTCATTTTACTGAAAACAGAGAACAGTAAAAGTTTTGCTTCTATTGTCATTGTTAATCTCATTTTTGTATTTTTTTTTTTTTGTAGCATATAAAGCAACGTGGTGCTACAGACTTTCAGTCTTAATATGGGATAGTTTTAGATACTCAAGGACAAAGTTCCTAAAGACGGTCATTGGATATAATAATATTGATAAATAAAAAGTATCAACATTTGTTCTTCTTTTTTATGATTAATTTAAAAGGAGTTAACATCTTTCTAAATTGAATGTAATAAGTACATTAATGTACTAACCTTAAAGACGTTCATTCTCAGAGTATATACTTTTATACTATCACCATCAGATAATCATGAGAATTTTTTAAATAAATCATTTCTTTGTTGGTAAAAAAAAAACCAGGTCTTACTATATTTGAATGATTAGTATACTGATTTTATTGCATTCTCAATTATGATACAATTTTTATAACAAGTGATTAGTTCACATCATGCAAAGATTAAAAAAAAGCTACAAGATTAAATTATATTTATTAAAGTAATTATATTTATTAAAGTAATTATATTTATTAAATGAAAAAAAAATATTAAGGATTATGATTATAATAATTGTTACATATTATACTATTATTTCTGCTATATATATTAATATTTACTACAAGACCTCTTCTCTCATTATTATATCCTTCAGATCCCTGATATGTACTGTCAGTAGAGAAGGAACTCTTGTCTATATGTAATGAATCAGGAGCAGGTGGATATCTAGGAGATCCTATAGTGTCCAATTCTGGTATTAGTAATAGAGAGTTCATAGGAGTAATAGGATTCGAACTGGTACCACCTGAGGGAGGTCCAAATAAATGTAAATAAGTCAGACTAGCCACTGGTAAAGAGGATTTTTTTTACCTGGTTATATTATCTGTTGAAGAGCGCGATGAAGATCCTGAGACTTACGTATGTTTATATTTTTACAATATTTACAAATTCCTTTGCTAATGAGATATTGATAATAAAATATATGACATTTATTATATCGTATTTTTGTATATGGTGGAGGTGACATTTTTTTTTGATAGAGATTAACCAGATGACTGACTTATTATTATACGCACGATGTAGGAATTTGATAAATAACAAAAAGAAATCAAAACCGGTATTAATTGTTTATCAAATTCCCACACCTTGTGTTATCTTTGCATAAAATAACAGGATTAAATATAAATGATCTTATTATATAAAATGAGTTACGATAAGTTAAAGTGATAATCATAAAATCAATATTAATAAGTGTAATAATTACTCATCTGGTTTTTGTTAAAAAAATGCCAAGAGTAAATCGTCACAAACATCATACCTGTCAGAATAATAGGCTATTTGAGACAATGAAAATATTACAAGAATGTATCGATTTTCTTAATAGCGAAGTTCGAAAGCAGAAATGGTATTCGAACCAACTTACTAAAGAATTAGAGATTTTAAGAAGATATCTTAGTGATCTTACTAGGCGTCTTTCGTTAACAGAATATATAAACGGAGATCTTAAAGAAGAAGTATGTTATTTTTTTTTTTTTGGTTTGGAAGTAGTTGCTACTAATTTTAATTATAATAAAAAAAAAGGTACAGAATCTTAAAGAAAGAGTCTCACATTTAGAAAAAATCGTTAGAAATTCTTCAGAATTTTAAAATTTTAACCAAGACCTGAATAAGTATTTAATATTAGTTTTGCTTTATTTATAATTAATTTTCATTTTATTATTAACTAGAAATATAGTAATCACTGAGCACTCATTGCCTGGGTAAATTGTTGATTAAATAAAAAGAAAGTAAAGTTCACACTAGGCCAGGCTAGTTGTATTAATAGTGTGCACTTATTTGCTTTGTAACCGGGCTATCATTAATACACTGTATTTCTCTTTTCTTTTTTTTTTATAATAGATGTGAACAAGATCTTACAAGAGTTCAATGATTCATTCATTTATGATTGATGAGGACTGGGCTATCAAGAGTATTTGCCTCCATGTTGGCATGGTCTGGATAACCAACTAAAGGACACTCTTTTATGTTTAAATTTTCATGTTGTATCATTTATATATTTCAATGATTTAATAAAGTTTATTGCTAAAAAAAAAAAATCACGTTTATTTCAAATAATTATATTAAAATAGTAATATTACAAAATAAATAAAATTAAAACGTAAAAAAAAAATTCTAGTGAACAAATTTTGTTTAGTCATAGATATGACGGAATAAGTTATTTGACTAATTACCAGTACGAGTTTGATTAGGTTAAGATTTACTTTAAATGATTAATTAAAAATTATACCAGAAATAAAAATATCGATCAATAAACATTTATTTTTAGATGTAAATGTTTCCATACTTTTTAATCTGAAATATTACGTACATTTTTTATTTTTCATAAAATATAGTTAAATTATTTTATCATTTAAGCTCTTAAGTTTATTATGGTTTCTTTCTTTTCTTATCCTAGCATTTTCTCTTCTTATATAATCCCTTTCATATAAGGATTTGATTATACTAAGAAAAGTCTTTGAACCATCCTTACAATTAATATGTTTTATCATGATCTTTCTAAGCTTAATTGATACAATGTATGGTAATGCGCTATATACAAATACAGCGTTATCTGATTGTGAAATAATTTTTACATGTATTTCTTCTAATTCACATTCATTACGAAATATATCAATTATTCGTAAATTAATTTTGTCGTTATTTTTTCTCGAAACATAAAATTTAAGTATGTCTTCATAACATACTTTTCTAAGATTATGATATTTTGTATATAGGCAATGTACCCAATAGTAGAAAAATTCAGATTTGAATAAAATATTTGAATTATTTTTGTTTTCATAATGTAAAGCTGACGATTTTATGTATAATTCTACAACAACTTCAGTAATATCGATATTTGGATAATTATTTTTCATAAATTTATAAAAAACCTCAGAAATATACAGCTTTGTCTTAATAGCGCATTTTAAAATATCTTTAGTTATAATTTCTAATCCAATATTTTCAAGTATATATCTAATATATGTATCTGGCATATACAAAAATTCTCTTGAGTTGATTGGTTTATATAAGATTCTTTTCAAGTATTCAATCAAGATTATTACAATTTCATTAGAGTTATTTATTTCTATATTGTTAAAGATGTCTTTTAGGAACGGATAAAGTATTGGAAGGGATATTTGGATATTTAAAAGAATTTTTGTAATTTTATTAATTATGTCAATAAAGATATTGGGACAATTGGTTAACGTAGCAATTTCCATTTTTTTAAGATTATTAGTAATTATGGTTTTTTTTTCAGTGAATTTATTATGTTTATGATTACGATTAACATAAGTTAAGAAAAGAAGTGATAATAAACTTTTTTTTTCAAATTTATAATTTATGATGATGAAACATTTGTAAATGTCCATTTAACCTGTTATTTGTTTATACAAATTCATTCTAAATTAATATAATATATCACTAATCTCGTATATGTTGATTCTGAAAGAATTTTAATATGTTTATCTTATTATACACAACGTGTTAATAAATTAGTGGATTCATTAGAGTTAGGGTTAATTTAAATTGATCTTTCATATAAAATTTGATATTCAGTGTAATTACTAGTAACTATCTTGAAATCATGTTTAAATTTTTCTTTGAAATCTTCTAAGTCTTGTTTTTCAATTCATAAATTTAAATATTTGATATTCTTGATATAGTCTAGTATAATATTATAATCGATGGTTCAATGACTAAAATAATATTTATTAAAAGAATTATATATTTTCTTGATCCTTTTGCTATTTCTTAATATCAAGTTTAAGAAATAATAACTACAAGTTTTGTTCTGTAAATCTCTAAATATTTCATAAAGATGAATTTCTGTTATGAATAATGAATATAAAAAGGTATTACTTTTTTTCTGCTATTCAATCGAGTAATAACAATTATATAAATCATCATCAACATATTTTATTCTTTTAGTTTTTTCTTTGATGTATTCTTGTTCATTTTCGAGTAGTTCATTGTATAAAACATATAATATTTTTATATTCGCAGTATATTTGAATTTTCTATCCCATAAGAATAGTATTGAATGCCTATACATTATTCTCAAAACCTTTATCAATAATAATAAGTGTCTTTTCTTGTATACAAAAGAAATAATATTGTCTAATATTTCCGTTGGTAGTAAATTCAACATTTTATTTTTGTCATTTTTTTTTAACTTAACATTACTTATAATGAAATAAACACGATCGTCAATTAGTCTGTTTAGGGTTAAATAATACAGTCTGATATTTGATAATATTGTCTTTTGCAATAAAGATAAAGGTCTATAAGGTTAGTTGCAGTATTTAATAAATCATTTATCTTTATACATATGTATTTAGAAGCTTTGAGTTATTTATTCTTTTTACACCAATTATTTTCTATCCATTTGTCTATCCTATTTTCTTTAAACATGTAATATATGTTTCTATTTATCGTTTCTATTGCGAGTACGCTTTTGTTATTATTATTATAAAGTTGATAAATATTATTTGCGTTCTTTGAATCATCTACTGGTTTATTATCATCTGTAGTTTGGTCTTTTTTACTTACGGATTTACCTTTTGGCATCTTTACGTGTAAACAAAAATCACAATAATCAACTCTTAAGTCTAACAAGAATTTAGAACGGTTTTATTTATATATTGTTAATTATTCTTTATAATTATCAAACAGGATTATATTAAAAAAACACACGTGACAAATAGGTTTTATTAATATATAGAATGTGAAAGTAAAAGAAAATAATTATAAATAAGACAAATATTATTGTAAATCAAGTATGATAAATAATAGACTTAGTAACTAATTCTCAAGATGATTTTCTTTCATTTTTGTATAATAAATTTAAATATGATCTTGACGATTTTATAAAACTTGCTTCGATACAAAAGGGAAATATATTTCAAGTTTTTGTGTATAATCTATTAATATCTGATAATATTATATGTTGGATCCATGCGACATCTATTTCTTGTGAAAATGAATATTGGGAAAATATCTCTAATAGAAATATAGATTTAGCCGGTAAGTAATTACTTGCTAAATATCTTTTGTAGAATGTATATACGTCATATAAATCACACTACTGGTCGAGTGAGCCTGTTTAGTTCGTAGTGTCTCATAGAGTTTAAAGTTGTCCATGGTTATATGAAGGAATCGCCTAGTGTAAATAACTATAATCATGAAGAAGCATTTGATATTTATATCTTTTTTTTATTCCAGGATGTTATCAGAATCTACATTATATTGCTCAATTGAAATGAAAAAAAGATGAGTCATACTTGAATATAAGGGAAATGCACGAATTTACCAGTACCATTTCTTCAAGACCTAAAGAAGAACTTTGCTTTTTGATAACTAATGCAATGTTGTCAGACTATGCTGTAACTGAGTTGGAAAATTTTGATGAAAAGAATCACGTTATTATCTGTAATTACGATGAAATGTCTCATTATATTAAAGAATATTAAGCTAAACATAGACAAATTCTTGAAGATTGTAAGATAAAAAGGGACTATGCAGACGTTAAAAAATTACATTTAGAGTTTAAGATTATAGAACTTGAAAAAGAAAATGAAAAATTAAAGAAAATACTTGAAAAAATGACTATTAAACAAAAGATGTATGAAATGTATGTAGTTGGAATTATTTAGCTATTCTATAAATTAAATTAATCTCATTAAACTTGAGTAATGTATGATTTCTTTATTAATAAAGTATTCTTTAAGTTGATCAAATGCGAACTGTTTTTAGAACGATTTTAAAATGTATAATAATTTACACATGTTGTTATCTAATATTAAGTTTTTATTATAAATTATCAAATATGTCTGATAATGTTAAAAAAAAAATATCTACTCTCAAAGCTTTGGGAATGCCTGATATTTTGATGTATATTAGTAAATATATTAATTCTTCTGATTGCGCAACAATACTTTATATGATCTTGGTATCTAAAATATGAGCTAGTGTATTCGTGAATAAGTTGTGGGAAAACTCCATCAATGCTTGTCAAAAATATGGGACATGTAATAAACTTGTAAATTTTATGATTGATTGCACTAGATCTGAAACTGATACGATGATTGTACTGCCATTCTTTGATTATCTATCATTTATCAAAAAATTGAATATTGAAATAATATATTTCAATATCTATATGTTGTCAAAGGGAATTGAATATCATTTAAACCTGCTAATTAAAAGTATCCGTAAATGATGTAGTTGCTTGAAATTTGTAAAATACAATAATGTGCTATCTATGGATACTTTGAAGTTGCTGAGAACAAGAATAGATTCTAATATGGTCGTAGATCTTTTTCTGAGTGAACTTACAGATATCGACGAATTGCCAAGTGTTAGAATATGTAAATTGATATTATCAAGTAGTGACGTTACGTACCAAGATGGAAAAGTTTTTCTGTATGTAACCGATTTAATTCTGAAATATGTTTATAACATTAGAGATATTGATTTCAAATCATACAAGAATTTGAATTGTCTTGTTGTGAAATATTGCTATTACCTTCGATATCTTAACGAATCTTTCACTAGATCAGATTATGTATTGTATTTAGCTTCTTTTGGTTTCGATATTGTCATTGTTGAATGTGATTTTGATATTCAGACAATTATAAATATATTCAATGAGGTAATTAAATATAATAATATTATTTTGAGAAACAAATGCAAATACGTTAATAGTAAATTAGCCATAAACATTAATAATATCGATAACTTTATCAAAGAACTAAAAGACCATGGTGATTTTGAGTATTTTAGACTAGAGTATTCGAACAATAATCTTAGTTTATCTTTTAAAATGTGGTTCAGTGATAAGTAGATAATAGGGATATCAAACAGGGATTAAACTTATTTGATTAATAATTGATGTATGTTTAACATAAATAATGATGCTATTAATAAAAAAAAATGTAAAAAAAAATGACCAACCTTGTATTTACAACACCAGAGTTACTAATACTCATTGGTGATTATATTGAACTTGTAAAAAACTCTACATATTTTCATCTAATGCTAGTCTCTACGTTTTGGTGTACTATATTTGTAAAAAGATTGTGGGAAAACCTATATCGTGATTTAAGCTATAAACATTATAAACTTTTATTAAAGTTTATGATACAGTGTATGGAATCATATTCTAATAAGAATATTCAACCACCTACATTTAGATACTTGTCATTTATTAAAGCATTGACTATTAGTAAAACTTTATCTGATTCATTGATTGAATGTATATGCAAACAATATGGAGTTTTGAAGCATATAAAATATTTTCACGAGTTGCCATCTGATACTCTAGGAATATTCAAGAGTAGAATTAGTGCCGATACTTTTATCACATTAAACCTTCGTTTATGTGAATATAGTGATAAACTGCCTTTTGACGGTACTACAAAAATAAGGGATTTGTCAATACTCTATAATGCCACAACGTATGATATCGAGAAATTATTTTCACATGTAATAAAATTAACCTTAAAAGATGCTTATAATATTAGAACATTTGATTTTAAAGAATTTAAATGTTTGAAATTTCTTACTGTGATATGATGCTATTTTCTTAATTATCGAGAAGATAGATTTCTTAGAACAGATTATATTTTGTTTTTAATTTCTCTCAGGTATGATATCAATATCAAGGATCACGAATATAGTATTACAATGATACAAGATATCATAAAAAGGATGAGAAAAGTCAATAACGTCACTTTATATCATAAACTTAAATATATTAAAGGTAACCCTAGCATAGAAACTGGTACTTTGGATGATTTTCTCAAGAGGCTTAATAGTTATTATGTAATTAGTAGTTTTTTATTCGAGTATAAATATGATGCTATTAATCCTTCTTATAAAATATAGTTTGGGGATTAAATAAATAATTAGAAGATCAAACAGGGTTACTTTGAAGTGTAGCTATAAAAATAAACAATATTGTTTTATTAAAGTGAATAAAAAAAAATATCTAATATATTTAAAATTGGTGAATTGTTAATATGTATAAGTGAACAATTTGAACCTAATGATGAGGTCACATTTTATCGTATGATGCTTGTATCTAGGGAGTGTGCCAAAATATTTGTAAAGTTATTCTGAAGAAATCCTATAGAGTATCATCATAAAAACAATCAAAATAAAAGAGCAAAAGATATTATACTACAATGTGTGATGTCTGATCTAAATGAACTGCTTTTGTTTAACTATTTATCATATATTCAATGCTTGAATATCAGTAAATTGAATTACTATCTCAATGAAGTAAAAATAAATCTCATGTTAACAGTGATATGTCAAAAATTCCAAACTCTGATTTATCTATGATACAATATTCCTCTGGATCCTATAATATTAGAATTATTAAAAACGAAGATGGATTCGAATACTGTCATCGAATATGAAATAGAAGCCCAGAGAATATATGATCGGTTACTCATGACAACTCAGAGAGAATTAATGATATTAACATACAATATTACATTAAGTATTGATAGTTATAAACACGTGACGAAATTAACAATGACGTCCTTGTATAATATCAAGATTTCTGACATTTCAAAATTTAAGAATCTGAAATCTCTTTCGTTAATAGATTGCTGGTGTTTTGGAACACCGTATATGAATGCCACAAATAATGCAAATATCATAAATATACTAGGAAGTATCAAATATGATATTGAAATTTTAGATATTTAATATCATATTCATATGGTTTCTGAAATATTTAATCAGTCTGTTGGTCGTAGTAAAATTATTATAAAAAATCACCACGAAAATGATGATGGGATTGTGATTAGTACTGATAATCGAGAAGAATTTATTAAACAACTTGATAAAATTTACTGTAGAAAGAGTATGATGTTTACTTGATTCATATATATATATGAATATTTAGATACTGAACTATTATTTACATTATAGATTAAGAAAGGAAATATAATGTGTATCAAGAATTATTTTCCTTTTTGATATTAATTTAATAAAGTTAAATAGTTTATCTTAATTGTTATTATAAAAAAAAAATAAATTAATACTTTAGACATATCTTGATATTCAAATTGTTTATTAAGTATGATTTTTTGAATTAGTTAGATCATGACATAAAACGATCAATTAAATATAATTTTTGATGCATATAATTTTATTATTATTGTTATGTTTAGAATGATCAAAAATTATTCTTAATTGATTATTTTATCTTCCTCTTTAATAAGTATTAGATAATTATTTTACATTTGAACATCTAAAATGAGTTACAATACAATATTTGAATATCTTTAAAATAAATTGTTTGTTAGTTAATATTCAATACATAATGAAATGAAAATGAGAAAAGGCTGAAATAAAGCAATTTTGAAGTAATAAATATGAAAGATTGAAAGTATAGTTACCTACTGACTATGATGTAGAAGAAAGATATAATAGAAAGGTATTAGAATCTGAGAATATATTATATTCTTAGTTCAACATGCATAAAAAGAAAAATATCATAAGAGAACAGATCAATTTAAATTTTGATACAGGAGTCATAATTAACAATGGTTTAAAGACCAAAAAGATTCATATGAATCTGACACTCAAAGAACAAAAGGTATTATTAAGTTGGATAAGAACAGCAAGGTGGACATATAACCGATACTTAGATTTTATTAAGGAAGGTATATTTAAAATTGCTCCAAAATCACTATATGAACAAGTAGTCCATGAAGTGAATTATAAAAATATAGAGTTGCAATAGCTGTTAGATATACCTGCTTGTATTCATAATAATATAATGCGAATCTTTACAAAGCATACAAGACAAATTTTAAAATGAAATAAGAGAACAAGAGAGTCAAATTTGATATGAAGTTTTGATTAAAGAAAGCTCTTCAACAATCTATCCTAATACAACAAGTAGATTGGAATAGGTCCTATGGTCAGTATGCTTTTCTCAAGAATATAGTAACCAGTGAACTATTAACAGAGGTCAAGCATGATATGTGAATTACTTATGATAGATTGGGAAGATTCTTTGTCTATATACTAGTTAAATTGAATAAGAGATCATTGGGTCAAAAGAATATTGTATTGTAGATAGATTAAGGTTTACATTGTTAACATATCACCATAAACATAGGATTTATTTTTATTTTACTGAGATAATAATTCAATTCACCAATATTTAAATATCTGAATATATAACAAATAGTTAAATAAAAGTAGCTTATTTGGATCAGACTTCACACATTGTATTATAATATCTTTTGCTCTTATATTTTGCCTACTTTTATGATGATATCCTATAGGGTTTCTCCATAATAACTTTATAAATATTTTGGCACATTCTCTAGATACAAGCATTATATGATAAAACGTAACCTTATCATTAAGTTCAAATTGTTTATTTATACACATTACCAACTCACTAATTTTAAATATATTAGACATATTATTATTATTCACTTTAATAAAACAATATTGTTTATTTTATATTTACAGTTCAAATAACCTGTTTGATATTCAAAGGATAAATATTAAAACATGTTATGTTTGATATAATGACTGTTAAACCAAATTTTATAAGAAGAATTATCAATATTATGTTCGTACTTAAAAAAAAATAACTAATCTCATGATATTTTTCAAGCTCCTCGAGAAAACTATTCAAAGTATTGGCTTCTATATTAGGTTTACTCCTTATGAATATAGGCAAATGATATATGGTGACATTATTAATTTTACTTATATTCTTTATAGCTTTACTAAGTGTTAGATCATCAAAGTCATAAGCTTTTATAGTGATATTGTACTCAAGAGAAATGAGAGACAATACAAATTCTATTCTACTAAAGTTCTCATTACGATATTCTTGATAATAACTTGATATTATGATAAGATATTTTAAATCTTTAAAAATTTTGTAATTAAACATCCTGATATCATGAGCATGACATAATATTAATCTCGCTATATATGAGAATAAATTTTTGTTATTATAATCTCTGATATTACCAACTATAGTCAACTTTTTTATGTTACTTGTATTATCAAATGGAAGTTTGTGAATTTTCATATTTACTGTAACTGACGTTTCAGTGCTAATTTTACTCTTGAGTAATTTCAAAGTATTAGTAGATAATATGAAAATATCTTAAACATTTCAAAGTTCTATATTGTCTACATATACATTCTATCAATAAATTTGGTAAATATGTAAAGATATAGATTTGTATTGTTTTAATAAATAATAGGTATCTAAATATCGACATTCAGATTGTAGTATTAAATTCCGATTCTATACATTGTATTATAAACTTTAACAAGATTTCGCATTAATTACATTTTAAGTAATGGTCTGAATCCTCCTATAACTTTTTCACAAATATAGTATACCAAAATGTAGAGACAAGTATTAGATGAAAATATGTAGAGTTTTTAATGAGTTCAATATAATCACCAATGTATACTAGTAGCTCTAGTATTAATAATATAGCATTAGATATTTTTTTTTTACAATTTTTTTATTAATATTATCATATTTATATTAATCAATTATTACAAGTTTAAACCCTGTTTGGTTTTTTATGATCATCAAACCACATTTTAAAAGATATACTAAGATTATCATATGTATATTCAAGTCTAAAATATTCAAAATTATTATGATCTTTTAGTTTTTTGATAAATTCATCAAGATTATTAATATTTATAGATGGTTTACTCCCAATATATTTGCATTTATTTCACAAGGTAATATTATTGCATTTAGTTACTCTACTAAAAATATTTATAATTGTCAGAATATTGAAATTGCTTTCAACAATGATGATGTCAAAACCAAAAGAAGCTAAATATAATACATAATCTGACCTAGTGAAAGATTCATCAAGATAACAAAGATAATAACATATTTCACAACAAGATATTTCAAATTCTTATATGATTTGAAATCAATATCTCTAATGTTATAAACATATTTCAAAGTTAAATCGGTTACTTAAGAAAAACTTTTCTGTCTTAGTATGCAACATTACTATTTGATAATATCAATTTTCTTATTTTGACACTTGGTAATTTGTCAATTTCTATGAGTTTGCTTAGAAATAGTTCTACAACTATATTGGTATTTATTCTCAATTTTAACAACTTTAATATATCATAGACAGTATATTATTGTTATTTTACAAATTTCAAGATACTACAACATTTACTAATACTTTTTATTAGCAAGTTTAAACAATATTCAATCCCCTTTGATGATATACAGATATTGAAATATATTATTTCAATGTTCAACTCTCTGATAAGCGATAGATAATCAAAGAATAGTAGTGTAATCATTATATCAGTTTCAGATCTAGCACAATTAATTATAAAATTTACAAGTTTATTATATGTTCTATATTTATGATATGCTTTAATTAGATTTTCCTATAATTTCTTCATAAATATAACAGCCCATATTTTAGATATTAACATCACATTAAGACAATCAGAAGAATCAATATGTTCACAAATAAATATCAAAATATCAAGTATACCCAAGGCTTTACGAGTAGATATTCTTTTTT